AGGAAAAAAGTTAACTGTGACAGAGTGAAATGTAGGCCATGTATTGCCTGTAGTCCTGTACAAAGGTACCCCGGGTGCCAGCCATTTGTGTGCAGTCGACCAAGTACTCAGAAGAAAAAATTGAATTTGAAGCTCATACTTCCCGAGGTTGAAGGAGACAGGCCAATGCACAGAAATTGTTGCGCTTATCTATCCTCGAAATATAGAGAATAAGCCTTGGTAGATCAATTGGCACTCAGTGACTCTCCCGATAGTTTCTCACGGGAAGACGGAGGTTCGAATCCTCCCCAAGGCATGACGGTTATCATCGTGCTTCTTTTTCCTCCTGATCACCCTGAAATCTACAGAGTGGACGGGCGACATATTTTGTTGGTCCGTAGAGGTCGAAAATAAAATTTACCTCCAGTCAGTGCTGGCTGCCCGCATTATTTTTCAGAGGAAACAAAGGAATTATTGCGCGCAAAAATTCATTCCGTGTGTCCAACCCACAAATAAATGTATAAGTCTTGGGAGGGGCAGCGCGGAACTCGACTGGGGCACAGGGGACTATCGAGAGGGCGCGGGGGCAGCGCATTTAAGACACCGCGAGGCATTTCGAGGAAAAAAGACGCCGCGACGCACGACGAACTCGCCTTGGGCAGCGTTGGAGCTCGCGTGTCGATGAACAAGAGCGCGCAGGAGGCAGACCCGCACCCCGACGGTTACCGATACCGAAGGGCAGCAGAAAGAAGGAAACACAGAGAAATGGGAAGGGCGAAGGGTTATTGAAAGGGGGAATCGAAGGGCGAGGATAGATGAAAGGAGAGGGAAATAAAAGAAAGAAACGGAGGAAGAACTCACCCAAACCTTCCCAGCTTCTCCTTGCCTATTTATACATATGAACGGCCGCCCACACGCCAGCCTCGCCGCCGAGGTACGCGGTAAGCGGCGCGGACGTCCAGCGCTTCTGCGGGGTGACGTTGTCTATTGTTTTATTGTCCGGTGTGGTGTCTGTCGCGTCAAATGCAATTAGGGACAGGGATAGAGAGGCAACGCACTCAACCGAGGCGGCACCGGCAGCGCCCCCGGGCTCTCCGCAGCGACACCCCCATACGCCATCCCCTCGCTCGAGCTCAGGCTGCGCGAGTAGCGGTGCCCGCGGTACTCGCCCTTCCTCTCGCCCGCCGCCTTCCCGGTACTGCCCGCGTCATTCCCGCCACCGCTAGCACTGGCGTTGCTGCTGGTTCTCTCTTAGTGCGGCGAGGGGTGCGGCGACGGCGGCGGCACGTAGTGGTGCCGCCCTCCATTCTGCTGCTGCGAGCTGGTGGAGTTGGACCGGGTGAGGAACGCAGTGGATGTTGTGCGGATGGGGTAGGGGTGCGCGTTGGGCTTGAGGTCGTCGATGCTTGGGGTGCTGCGATGCGGCGAGCCTAGGGGCATAATGAATAACTTAAACTGATAGCTCTCGCAGTAGTAATAATGTACCTCCGGCAGGGGAGTCAAAGAGCGAGCTGGTGTGCGACTGGAGCGTGGGCGAGCTATTCACATTCGTGGTGTTGTTGTTATTGGTGGTATTATCCCGAAAACGGGATGTGGTTGGCGACTTTGTGGGCGAGGCAGGGCGCGGAAAGGCGAGTGGCACAGGGCCTGGGCTGGATATCGCCGACATCGTTGGCGTTATCGGGAGCTCAAGCCTCAGATGGACGAGCACGACGTCAGTCTCAGTCTCAGTGGGTGGGAGAAAGAACCAGCCGGAAAAGGAGATGCCTGATCTGGTCATGATTGGTCGCAAGGCCGGGAGTTGCCGGGCTTGTTTCAAGTTCAAATTATGGTGAGGTATTAACGTATATGAACCGCCACACATATCTGCGGCATAGATAGTGCAGGAAAGCCTCGGTGGATCATGGTGGATCGTCCCTGTTACTTGAGTCGGTATGTACCACCAGTTCTACAGCGGGAAGATGAGGCTTCGAATCCCTCTCGAGGCATAAGCGGGGATGCTAACAGTTTTTTCCATGAAACACATTACGCGGATTATTTTCTCCCCGTACAATAATCAACTTTCTGTACAATACACATTTGTTTTGCGCGCGACCCAGATAAACTTCACTTGACCTCAAACTCACTGACTGATTGATATTTTATTCGGGGCGGTCTATTACAACCTCCTTTCGCACTTACAATACCTATCCTCAAATAAGAGCAGGAACGCCTCGGTGGATCGTTGGTAGATCATCCCTTCTCCGTTCTTTTGAGCGATTTGGACTATGAGATCATGGGAAGATGAGGGTTCGATTCCCTCCCGAAGCATGACGTGTAATCGTGGTAATATCTCTTTTTTCCTCACCTGGTGCAGGTTTTTCTGCAATAGTTCAACATCAAATTCGTACGGTTCTATAGTTGACTAAGTAGAACTAGGAGAACGAAGGCGAATCCGCGGTAATTTATTTCATTCGGATGGTGATGGCTGAAGCAGAGGTGGGCGACCTGCATAAAAATCACTACACCTATTCAACCTCCAAAATACGGAGAATAAGCCTTGGTGGATCAATTGGCAGATCATGCCTACTCAATTAGGTGGTCATGGCGCAAATTATACGTAGTAGGAAGACGGAGGTTCGAATCCTCCCCAAGGTATTGACGAAGACGTTTGTCTCTTTTTTCTTTTCTTCTTCCTTCTGGCACACACTATACATGTTCGTGGTGCCAGCCGTTGTGTTCAGTCAAACGAGTACTCAGAAGAACACAAATGAATTTGATGCTCACTATACTTCTTGTGTACTTGCGTTTAAGTAATAAGCGGCCGTAAGGATGAAAACAGAGAAATCACAGCACCTACTCAGCCTCTAACTATAGAGAATAAGCCTTGGTAGATCAATGGGCAGATCATTCCTACTGTTTACTTGCGGGTGTACTAGGGGAAGCCGAAGGTTCGAATCCTCCCAGAGGCATGGGGTTTCAGTTATGAAGTGTGACTTTTTCGTTCTTGCCTTGCATGTTCCCCTTGTTTCATTGTGTCATTTCAAACACACCAGTCTCTGTGTTCATCCACGCATATAGAATTTCCCAACCAATTGAAGTCCACAGTCGTTCCATTTTTGTTTGCTCCGATATCCAATCGTAGCTTACAAGGTTGAAAAGAGACTCGCCGCACTCAGAGACTTCTCGTACCCATCCAGCCTCTAAATACAGAGATTAAGTCTGATCAAGCAGATCGCCTCCACTCAATAATATTGTCTTACACTTGGGAAAACGGACCCAAGGCATGGCAATGACACCTTTAAAGCCTTTTTGTTCTCACTTTTTTGTTTTCTTCATCGTTTCAGTTCTTTCAAACCCCGCCAGTCTGTGTGTTCACCTACATACACACGTAGAATTTCCAAACCAATTGGAGTCCACATTCATTCAATTTTGTTTGCTCAGGTAATCAATAGCTGACAGGATGCAACTCGCACGAAAGTCACAACACCTATCCAGCTTCGAAATACGGAAAATAAGCCTTGGTAGATCGATCAGCAGATCTACTTAGTTATTTGACTTCGAGTTGCATAACCAGGAAGATGGAGGTTCGAATCCTCCTCAAGGCATTGATTTGTTCTTGCGTGGATTTCTTTTTCTATCTTTCGATTCATGTGCCGCCCAACGAACTCAGATGTAGAATGGCCAACCCAATTGTAGTCCACATTCGTTCGCTTTTTGCTCAGATATTTGGTTGATTGGCAAGGTTGAAAAATCGACCTGCAGTAGCACGAAAACTATTGCATCTATCCAACCTCCATGGAAATGTTAAATGCCTTGGTGGAACAACTGGCAGATCGTCCTAGTCTTATATTTCAAGTTGTTCCGCGTAATCCGTGCGAAGGCGGAGGTTCGAATCCTCCTCAAGGCATGCACCAAGCGCTCGGCAACTTTTTGTTCTTGCCTTTATGTTCCCCGTGTCTCATTCGAGAATCAGAACATGCCAGCCTGTGCATTCATCTACACATGTAGAATTGCCGAACCAGCTAGAATCTACATTCATTCGATTTTGGTTTGCTCATACAGTATTTCAAATATTCAAGCGTAGCTTAGAAGGTTGGAAATAGACATGCGCACAAAAATCACGGCACCTATTCAACCTCTGAAATACTGAGAATAAGCCTTGGTAGATCAAATTGGCATATCATCTCAGCCGTAGTTCGTGGGAAGACGGAGGTTCGAATCCTCCCCAAGGCATCTTGATACTTTCAAACACTTTTTGTTTTCACTTTTTTGTTTTCTTGATCGTTTCAGTTGTTTCAAAACACGCTAGTCTGTGTCGTCATCTACATACACACATAGAATTTCCAAGCCAATTGGAGTCCCCATTCATTCAATTTTGTTGTTCCTGAGATTTCAGTCGATCGACAAGGTTGAAAAGAAAAACAGGCAGCCCGTACAAGGATTTGCCGCGCATATCCAACCGCCGGAAATGGGGGAATAAGCCTTGGCGGATCAACGGGCTGATCATCCCTTAGTTATTTTACCCCCTTTTTTTCATTCGAGAATCAGAACATGCCAGCTTGTGCACTCATCTACACATGTAGAATTGCCGAACCAACTAGAGCCCACATTCATTCAATTTTGTTTGCTCCGATATTCAATAATAGCTGACAGGTTGCACGGGGACACTCAATTCGTACAGACATTACAGCACACAACCAAGCTCGAAATGTGGGGAATGTGCCTCGGTAGATCAATCTGCAGATCATCCCTACTTAGTTAGTTGGTCGAGTTGTATATAACCGGGAGGACGGAGGTTCGAATCCTCCCAAGGCATTGATCAACACCAGAAATGGCTTTTTGTTCTTGTCTGAATTTCTTCCATCGTTTCAATTCATGTGCCGCTCTACAAGCTCAGATGTAGAATGGCCAACCCAATTGTAGTCCACATTCGCTCGCCTTTTGCTCAGATATTTGATTGATTGGCAAGGTTGAAAAATCGACCTGCACTAGCACGAAAATTACTGCATCTATCCAACCTCCATAGAAATGTTAAATAAGCCTTGGTGGAACAACTAGCAGGTCGTCCCAGTCTTATAGTACAAGTCGTCTGCGTAGTCCGTGGGAAGGCGGAGGTTCGAATCCTCCCCAAGGCATTCGGCGACGAGGAAAGTTTTTTTTTTTTGCTTTCGTCCTTCTGGCCTGCACTATACGCGTTCAGGGTGCCAGTCGTTTGTGTGCAGTCGACCGAGTACTCAGAAAAAAAAAGGAATCTGAAGCTCATACTTCCACCATGGTTGTACGATTGGTGACAAGGTTGAAGGAGACAGGCCAATGCACAGAAATTGTTGCGCTTATCTATCCTCGAAATATAGAGAATAAGCCTTGGTAGATCAATTGGCACTCAGTGGCTAGTTTCTTACGGGAAGACGGAGGTTCGAGTCCTCCCGAAGGCATGACGGTTATCATCGTGCATCTTTTTCCTCCTGATCACCCTGAAATCTACAGAGTGGACGGGCGACATATTTTGTTGGTCCGTAGAGGTCGAAAATAAAAATTTACCTCCAGTCAGTGCTGGCTGCCCGCATTATTTTTCAGAGGAAACAAAGGAATTATTGCTCGTAAAAATTCATTCCATTTGTCCAACCCACAAATAAATGCATAAGTCTTGGGACACATGTTGGCGAAGGTGTCTGGGGCAGCACGGAGCTCGACTGGGGCACAGGGGATTATCGAGTGCGCGGGCGCCCCTCCCATATCGCCAATAGCGAGCGCGGGGGCAGCGCATTAAAGACGCCGCGAGGCACGTCGAGGAAAAAAAGACGCCGCGACGCACGACGAACTCGTCCTGGGCAGCGTTGGATGGACGGATAAGAGCGCGCGAAAGGCAGGCCCGACGGATACCGATACCGAAGGGCAGCGGAAAGAAGGAAACGCCAGAAAACGGGGAGGACAAGGCAGGGCGAAAGGTTAAATGGGGGGATCGAAAGGCGAGGATAGATGAAAGGAGGGGAAAATAAAAGAAAGTAACGGAGGAAGAACCACTCACCCAAGCCTTCCCAGCTTCTCCTCACCCATGCGTACAAATGAACGGCCGCCCACGCGCCGACCTCGCCGCCGAGGTACGCAGCCAGCCATGCGGGCGTCCAGGGCTTGTGCGAGAGGGTGGTGATTATTCCTTTATTGTCCGGTGTGGTGTCTGTCGGCTCAAATGCAATTAGGGACAGGGAATATAAGGATAAAGAGGAAACGCACCCAACCCAGGCGGCACCGGAAGCGCCTTCCGCGCGCGCACCCCCATACGCCATCCCCTCGCTCGGGCTCAAACTGCGCGAGTAGCGGTGCCCGCGGTACTCGCCCCTCCTCTCGCCCCCCGCCTTCCCGGTACTGCCCCCGCCATTCCCGTCGCCGCTAGCACTGACGTTGCTGCTGGTTCTCTCTCGGTGCGGCGAGGGGTGCGGGGACGGCGGCGGCACATAGTGGTGCCGCCCTCCATTCTGCTGCGAGCTGGTGGAGTTGGAGCGTGTGAGGAGCGCGGTGGATGTTGTGCGGATGGGGTATGGGTGCGCGTTGGGCTTGAGATCGTCAATGCTTGGAGTTCTGCGGTGCGGCGAGCCTATGCATAATGAATGAATTAAATTGGTAAGATTCGCAGTAGTAAGAATGTGCCTCCAGCAAGGAAGTCAAAGAGCGAGTTGGTGCGCGACCGCGGCGTGGGCGAGCTATTCGTATTCGTAGTGTTGTTGTTATTGGTGTTATTCTCCCGAAAACGGGACGTGGTCGGCGACTTTGTGGGCGAGGTGGGGCGCAGGAAAACCAGTGGCACAGGGCCCGGGCTGGATATCGTCGACATCGTTGGCGTCGTCGTCCGTCGTCGAAAGCTCAAGCCTCAGATGAACGAGGACGACGTCAGTCTCAGTGGGTGGGAGAAAGAACCAGCCGAAAAAGGGCCAGTGGTTGCCGGTGGTTTCCGATGGTTAGTACTAGCCTCTATTGTGTGATTTATTGGACATACATTGACTGTAATTAATTATGGTGACTCAAAAGACTGAAAGCTCGCAAAAGCCCATATTACAGCTGTTTGCAAAATTGATGACAGTCAGCATTAAAAAAAAACAAGAACAAAGTTTTGGCACCAACGGCTTAGCTTGCTGTTTCTGTTGCTCTGAAGTGTTTTGAGTGATTCTTGCTGGTCCCTGTAGCATTTTTCTGTCCCAAACTCTAAGTTTCCGACCTTGAACGGGCTCAAACCGATCACGGCAAAATCCCGCGCTAAATGCCGCTGATTGACAGCTGGTACACAAACACACCTCCTTGAAGCTTCGATCTACCACGTCTTCCAGTGTCCACACAGCACTTGAACCTGTCTTGAAAGAAGCTGAAGAAATACCACGTGCATTAGGAAACTCTCCGAGGAATTTCTGCAGCATTTCCAGCACGTAATGTATGAGCCCTCAAATGCTCAACTTAAAATGATATCAAGAAGCCAATTTATTGAATCATTCGATTATTTACAACTTTGTATGTCGATGTAGACTAAGATACACATCTACTTGACTTCCATCCCATATCCGAATGAAACTGGATGGCTACATCAACGGTAGGGTCGAGGAAGGCAGAAATAACATGAACCTTTGCTGCAAACGGCCAGTGTATGCGGAACACCAACAAGTAGGGCAGTCTGGCAGTGCGATGCAGATGAAAGTGCGCTAAATAAAAGTAATGAGAACAGAAATAGCAAGGTATGGAAAAAACTCACGATCGAGTCAAAAGACGGCGGCGCGCAGCGCCATGCGCAAGACCACGAGCAGCCCGATCCGCGGGCGGGAGCACAAGCATAGTGTGAGCAGACAGGCTTACCGAATGTGTGGCTACAGCGCGCTCAGGTCCTGCACTGCTGTGTGCACTGCAGCTCCGCCGCTCCAGATCCTGCTTGACAGTGTCCTTGGTCGCCATCGCGCCCCTCATGGTCTTCTCCAGCTGCGGCCTCGCCTAATCGAGCTTCTGCGAGACAGCGGCGGGGGCGACTTGCGACAGCTTGAAAGCACCATGTGCGATGATGACCTTGACTTTGTCCGAATCGTCCATGAGGCCGGAGCTGCGTCCGAGGAATGTCGGGAGCTCAAGCTTCGCGAAACAGGTATCGAGCTGGGGAAGGACGTGGGTGAGAACGAAGGGGAAGATGTAAATGAGGCTGAAGACGCTTACCAGGGTGTACACATACGCCGTCTTGCGCATCTGGCATCCACGGGCCCATCCACACGGTCCGGATGAGGTCCAGATGATAACTGTCTCCTTGAGCAAGAGTGCTACCAGGATGAGATGCGGCTTTGTACGCGCCGAAGCGTTCAGGGCCGAGACGACGGGCAGTCTACCAGATTAGCTTAGACGACTGCAACGTCTTGGCGAAGATGACAGTGGCGGGCAGCCAAGGCGTCTAGAATTGTGGAAAGCGGGACCTAGTGCGAGAACTGTCTCTGGGATTTTGCGTGGACGAGAGGAGCAGTGTATAGCAGACACCATTTCAGAATATGAAAGAGCTAGAGATAAGCAGTGAGAGGAAGAACGCGCATCCTTGTGTGTGCGAGTATTGGCTGCTTGTCAATCAGCGGTGATTGACGGTCGGATTTTGCCATGAACCGTTTTGGCTGATTAAACATCGAGAAACTCACGTCGGGCTTAGTAGAAGGCTAATATCACCAGCAAAAAGTTCCCAAAACCATTCAGAGGAAGAGGAGGAGCCTTACAACCAGGAGGTGCCAAAAATTTGTTCTTGTTTTTTTTTTAACGCTGACTGTCATCAATTTTGCAAACAGCTGTAATGGTTCTCATTTGGTTTTTCGATGAGAACGAATGCCATCGGAAACCAACGGCAGCCAGTAGGATCTACTGATCTACGACCAAAGCAGGGCCACATTTATCAGCAGGATTGGTGGATCTCAGCCAGTGGAAGCCAGTGGAGACCAGCGGCGGCTCAAAGACATCAATGGCGGCTATTGCGGGCCTTCGGCCCGCACCCGCACGTGCACTCCGCGTATATTAAGGTAGCGGCCATACAAGTGCGGTTGCCCCACGTGACGACCCAAATTGAGCGAATCTCAGCTTGTACAATGAGCATCGAAAATCCAGCTCAACAGTTTTGTGTGAATGTATCATCAGACAGTTCCTCAATATTTTGAGAAATTTCAGTGGAGAAATGGAGGACGAGTTCCCAAAATGATGGGAACTTACACTTGCCATCAATCCCGCTAGATTCTGGAACTAGTCATTCATTTCATAACCTAAAAGCTCCAAAATATTTAGAAGCATTCTTAGATAACATTCAAAGAGAACTGTTGGGCCGGATTTTCTAATTTCTACAGAGGTTGGGAGGATTCACGGAAACATTCTGAACTTCGCCCAATAAGGTGATGTCACGTGGGGTAACTGTATTTGTATGTCCCCTACCTTACAGGAAAAAGGAGACGCCTGATTTGGTCATGATTGGTTAGGAGGCCGGGAGTTGCCGGGCTTGGTTCAAGTTTCAAGTTCAAATTATGGTGAGGCATTAACGTATACTGACCGCCACACATATCTGCGGCATAGATAGTGCAGGAAAACCTCGGTGGATCATGGTGGATCGTCCCTGTTGCTTGAGCCAGCCAAATTTTACAGAGGGAAACTGGGGGTTCGAATCCCTCTCGAGGCATAAGCGGGGATGCTAACACTTTTTTTCATGCAACACATTACGCGGTTTATTTTCTCGCCGTGCAATAACCATACAATACACATTTTTTTCTGCGTGCGACCCAGATAAACTTCACTTGAACTCAAATTCAGTGACTGAGATGTTTTATTCGGGGCGGTCTATTTACGACCTCCTTTCGCACCTACAATACCTAGACTCGAATGAAAGCAGAAAGGCCTCGGTGGATCGTTGGTTGATCATCCCTTCTCTGTTTTGGAGGCGTAAGAATATCGTGGGAAGGCGAGGGTTCGAGTCCCTCCCGAGGCATGACGTGTAATTGTGGTAATAAGCCTGTCTCTTTTTTCCTCACCTGGTGCAGGTTTCTCTGTAATGATTCAACATCAAATTTGTACGGTTCTGTAGTTGACTAAGTAGAACTAGGAGAACAAATGCGAATCCGCGGTATTTTATTTCATGAATTCGCATGGTGATGGCTGAAGCAGAGGTAGGCGACCTGCATAAAAATCACTGCACATATTCAACCTCCAAAATATGGAGAATAAGCCTTGGTGGATCAATTGGCAGATCAGCCTACTCGATCACATGGTCAAGGTGCAAGTTGTACGTAGTAGGAAGACGAGGGTTCGAATCCTCCCCAAGGCATTCGGTGAGAAAAAAATGTCATTATCAATTAGCAGATTATGCCTACTCGATTACATGGTCAAGGTGCAAGTTGGACGTAGTAGGAAGACGGGGGTTCGAATCCTCCCCAAGGCATTCGGTGAGAAACAAATGTCATTGCTTTTAGCAGTTAATGACTGCTATGTACATCAACTCCATTTAAATCCAAAGGTCATCGGAGAACATGAACCTCACTCAAATTTTAAACTCCGATGACAGCCCAATGAACGTCGACAAGTTGTACCAGTCTGTAAATACCGAAAGTGCTTGCCACATTTTTTCGGAATTTGTTTACAGACCGGTTACGAGTCTGAGATGCACGAAGGGGAGGGGAAAAGGAGAGATGGGTGGGTTGGGAGGAGGTGGCGAGAAAGGGCACACAGGCGGAGCATCGACGACTGCACAGATGACGGTGCGGACAGCGCAGACACCGCAGGTATCGCCGCTTCGAACACAATGATCAATTATGGAAAAAAGGAGGGAGACGGTGACGCAGGTGTCTGTGTTAAACAGAAGGAGGGAGATAAAATGGCGTCCAGCAAGAAATAACGACAACAATAACAACAGTTGGCCGTGAAAGGCGGGAAGGAACGAGAGGGCACGAAGGATGACGAAATAAAAAATGTAAGATGAAGAAAAATGATTTAGCGCTGAGGAGGCGCAGATATCGAAAGGCGAGGTGCGTAGGTAACGGAGGTAGGCTCTGTCGGAGGAGGAAAGATGACGTCCCAAAAGAAAATTAATAATATGAGCAGGCACCAAATCACGCACCGAAAACCGGCAAAAAGTGCGGGGGAAGTGAAAGAAAACAAGAAGAAGAAAAAGAGAGGCGCAAAAGCAAGAGTCCGCGCTATCTTCGTCACTTCGTTACTTCGCTTAGTTTTGCGAAACTTTGTAACCTTGATGGGAATTGAAAGTTCATGAGTTAGTACTATCCCTGGAAACCAGAGTTCGTTATTCGGACCGTGCCGTGTAATACTACCTACCGGGCTTGTCAAGCGGCGACTCCTTGGCACATCACGGAGTAATGGGTATCAACAGCTTGCCGAGATTGGCCGGTTAGGTTCGGGTTAGCCGGTTCGTGTGCGTGCGACAAATTGACTTGCGCACCCAAATTCACGCACAAGTCAAAACTAGTCAATCCGCGAGGGCGCAAGTCAATTTGGCATGCTCAAAACTGAACCCTCTACCTACCTACCAGGTTTAGGAAACGGATGAGTCAAAGCTGTTGATGAGCAAGTTCGGCGAACATCATTTTTTTAGAAATTGTATAAGCCAGGTAGCAGGCTGTGCCGCCTGTCGGCCTTACCCTCATATTGACTTGATTGGTGAAACTGGAGTCGGTGAATAACTTTAAATAAATTTTAGATAAGTCTTTTCTTTTTTTTGAAGTCTGCAAACACGATTCCGCATCTTTCTGAAATAAGGGTATAAAAGTTTTTTAGTACCTCGACCTGGACCCCCCTCCATCCCATGTCGGATTTTCGAACTCCGACGCCCCCTTGGGAAGATCAAGAGCCAACTTAGCATCCGCAGGAGCACGTAGGGACAGTGATCGTTACGCAGATTGTCGGTCCAACTAAAATACAAACAGTTAGGTGAGACTGAAACTTAGAGGAGGCATTCTTACTCAGCTCGAAGCTAAGTGAAAAACGGACCGGGACTGTCAGTCTTGGGAAAGAAGAAACGGAGAGGAGGATCTACTGACGTCCCGCAGGCTCCAATGAGCCCAACACTCGTCACGACGCCGGGCGTGAAGAGAACGTTGGCAAGCTCGATGGAATTGTGCAATTTACATGTTGGGCCGCCGTACGGAAAGTAAACGTACGCGAAACAGAAGGAGTCTTGAAGAGCAACTTGGGTCATGGTCCACTTCATCAGAAATGCACTCACCAGCACTGCAGGCCATCTGACATGCCTGCTCGGTTATGCCTAGGATAGTATTCTAAATACATCGGCTCAGTGAGTCCACACGTAGGCTGAATATGGGATATTTATGGCGCACGTCATCATTGACTTCCATATCCCAGCCGGGGTAGACGGCAAAAATGCGTCCAAGGTCGGATTTGGGAGTACTGATATTCATTGCAGAGGTAAGTGTCCAGCAAGCGAGGACAGCCATGAGTTGCAATTGCATGAGCATTATGCAGGCGGCAAGGGTCGTGGGTCACTCAGAAAGATTTCGAACTTTTATACATTTCTGCAAAAGGGTTGATTCTCTGACAAAGCTTCTGTGTGTATAGTGAATTTTGAATCTCCACATGCTGTCATCATATAGAAGCCGTATTGTATACCACAATCGCCCAGGGTGTTCGGTGTCATCAGTAAACATGTTGGGATAAATCGCAAGCTCAACTTAGGAGTAAGAGCTGGCGTGATGGATGGAGACCGAAGAACCAAGGGATATAATTAAAGAGGCAACAATTGAATGCGACAGCTCAGCAAAGGGACCCTGTGGCGGAACGGTTGGCAGATTGCAACATTCATGTCAAGTACCTGTTCCTAGGAGTACCTGTTCCTGGGAGTACCTGTTCCTGCGTTGATAACTCAACATGACCAGCGACTCGGTCTGGGTGATATGCGAAGACTGACATTCGAAATCAAGACCGAGTCCGCGCTATTTTCGTCACTTTGTTACTTCGCTTAGTTGTGCGAAACTTTGTAACTTTGATGGGAATTCGTGAAAGTTCGTGATTTTGATAGCTTTCTATGAAAGTTCGTGAGTCTGTATTCCGGGCTTGTCAAGCGGCGACTCCTCGGCACATCACGGAGTGACGAGTATCAACAGCTTGCCGAGATTGGCCGGTTAGGTTCGGGTTAGCTGGTTAGCGGTTCAAGTCAGCCGGTTCGGGTTAGCCGGTTAGTGGTTAGAAGTTAGTGGTTAGTGGTTAGCAGTTAGATATTAGCAGTTAGAGATTAGCGGTTAGGGTTAGCGGTTATTGTTAGGGTAAGGTATATCTACATGAAGAAACAGGCAGAGACTTGAGTGGAGGAGAATGATGGCCGGATTGATGTGTTTGATTTGCGTGGGTTGTACATCTCACGAACTTTCCTGGTAGGTAGGTAGGTAAGTAGGTAGCATTACACGGCACGGTCCCGCTGAAGAACGCCGGGGCAGGGAAGTATCCCAGTATACAACAGGCAAAATTATGTACACTATCGTCCCCCACCTCTAATAACCTCCCGAGCCGAGCTCATGCACCAGTTTCCTGGCACGCTGTAGAACCCAGTCGATCACTAGAAGCAAAAAATCAGGAAATAAATGTTAGTACCTCAGCTCGGATCAGTCTAGTACACGCAAGCGCCGCGCAGAAAACCCAGTACTATCAGTGACCGGCTACTGGGCCACCTTAGCGCTTTTGACCTCTTGCCAGCTTGTAGAATGCAATAAATACCCAGATTTCGACCCTTGTGTAAGGAATAACATACTAAGAGTGAGATGAGATACTTTGGGCCAATTTTAGGTGGTGTTTTGAGCCTGCGGCGAATATATTTTCGGCGGTACCCCCAAAATGGCAATAAACGGGGTAGTGGGCCACCAGGCTAAATCGGTTGGTCGCACTCATACTGTGCGGCCCCGCGTGTTCGAAATTGTTCAGAGGGTCCAAGTACATGATTCTATACACTGAAAACATGGATTAAAGGCGTACAAGGGTAATAATAATTTTCAATGTCCGCACTAAAAATGGGTGAAATTGGGACATTGTCAAAATCACGCACATTACCAAGCACAGAGAGCAATCTTGGTCGAAACTGAGTTTCAGAAGGCTAAATAGGAAGCATTGGTACATACTTAGGCACATTGGATGGTTCCTCCATACCAATAACTCTCCGAACAAAATCCATTTATTTCCGACCCTGAAATCGGGTGGTCTGGTGAAATGACCCACAGCGAACGTGAAGCTGAAGGGTAGAGGAGGAAATGGAGCTGAGAGGTCATTGATGTGCATGTACCGAGTGCACATACCACATGCTACGGTCACAGCAATGTCAGGTGGGTCGCCATAGAGTAGTCTGTCTTGCGCCAACTGAGAGAAGGTTTCGCCATTCTTGAATGGAATAACGGGGGATTTCGGTTCATTCTGGCGTCAAATGTCCGTTGAGGACATTATTTGAGGCAGAGGTAACAAAACGAGCCCTCAAACTTGTGAATCGGCCGAGAATTGGCTGAGGAATGGGCAAAGGAAGAGCGCAGCATCCGTTCGGAGATAAGAAATGATCAATTCCCACCTACCCATCGGAACCAAACGGGGCACAGCTTTTGATCAACGCATCACTCCGCCTCAAAATTTGATATACAACATCGTTATACATTGTACTTCATCCCACAAGCACCAAACCACGAACTTCTGCAACATCGATCCCTGTATTATCCAAGTGGCCCACTACCCCCGACTGGCCCAGTACCCAGTCGTTGATAGTAGATCGTAAGTATGTGTATATGTGGACACGAGAGCGTTGACAAGATGTTCACAACCATTGATTTAAATGCTTGATTTTGAACAGGTCTTCGCCATTAGAACTGTGCGCATATAGAAGGGCCTTTGTGTGATTTCACAACGTCTCTGAGTGACATAAACTTTACCGACACGTCGACTACACCTTGAATCCATCGGCATGAAGTACCCATTTTGGGTAAATTAATTGCAAGATTGGGCCATGCGTAGATGGAAGCTAGGAGCCAGCACCTTCCTATGCCAACTTGCTAACTGAGCATCTACATGTACTCATGCAAGAGGTGGGAGGATTTTCGATGGCCCGAGCACAAGGACTGATATAGTCGTTCTTACCGGGATACGCTGTCTGTTTCCATAGCCTGTTTTACATGGTTTCTAAAATGCTAGAAAAATAAATATCTTGAAGTGTAAGAGCGATGCGACCTTCGGGGACTCAATGGAACGGGAATATGAACAAACTGCGTAAAGTATTGCGCAGATGACAGATCCATAATATTCTCGGAGCTCGTTAACCTGTTTACAGAA